CTGAGTATTCCTTGCCTAAGAAAACCCCATGAAATTCATGAGGTTGCCATAAGATGACAGGCAACTTGAAGGCACATACACACAAACACAAAACATATGTGAACCACCTCTGTCTCTTCCTGATAGATTTGACTTTTGGCACTGGCTTCAAATAGCACATACAGATTAGACACTGGCTACAAACAGAGAAAATTCTGTTCCTCCACAGCCAGAAATCTTGCACCCCCACCCCATAAGCAGGCATGCATTCTCACCGTCCGGATCAGCCGAAGGGACACCAAATGTTCGTTGTATCCTCCCCATTGAGACCAGTCATAGTACTCTCCTTCTTCCAGCAAGTACTGGTGGCCACGAAAGCCTTCCTTCTCATAACCAACCCAGCTACAGAGGGAAAGAGTCTGACATTAGGAGAAAGGTAGACCGGAGAGAATCTGTATCTTGCTATGTGAGCGTGCCCATGCTCTAAGACAGGGGTAGGCAACCTTTCCCCTTTAAGGGCCGAGGGACTTCAGCTCCCAGAATCCCAGGAGCTATTGACCAACATGGGACTATTGGCCAACATGGCTGAGGCTTCTGGGAGCTGAAGTCCCTCGGCCCTTAAAGGGGAAGGGTTGTCTACCCCTGCTCTAAGATCTGGAAGGGAAGGCTTTCTCATAGTCTCACTACAATGCCAGGCATGTCTGCTAAGGAAACAAGAGACAGCCTTCTCAGTTGCTGCTCCCAAGCTATGGATTCCCTTCCCTTGGGAGTTCTGGTTGGTCCCTTCCCTGCTGTCTTTCTGCTGGCAAGTAAAGACATTCTTATTTAAGAAAGCTTTTGATTTTTAGTGTTGCACCAGATAAAGTTTTCAATGGAGGGTGCAGTATCTTTATTTTGTTTTGTTTTAAGCATCTTATAATGCTGTTTCAACTTGTTTTTAATGCTGTTTGTAGCTGGGTTTTTTTTTCACTTGCATTTTTTAAAACAGAAATTGTGTTTCAACTTTTCATTCAAGAGTTTTAAAAATTGTATTGTGCTTTTAAAACACTGTATGCCACCTTGGATCCCATGTTGGGAGAAACACGGGATATAAAATAAAGAACCAAGCAAACTTGGATAAGATATGTAGAGAGAGATCTTGTAGCACCTTTGAGACTAACTAAAAGAAAGAAGTTGGCGGCATGAGCTTTCGTAGACTTGAGTCTACTTCCTCAGATACATTACTTTAAATAATGTGGTTTCCCATGTTCAATTCATGGGCACTTCTTGTATCCTGACACTCACCAGCCGCCCATGATTCTCAGAGAGCCTGCAGTAGGCATTCCAGAGTCCTGGTTGTTTTCCGGCTTCTTCACATTGTATATATCCCGGCTTACTTCCCAACTATGGCCCTGGAAATGTGGCCTCTCATAAATCACAGCCTGT